AACAGAGAATAAACTGCCCAAATACCCTTAAACAAAGGAAAAGTACGTCCTTTATGAAGGCATAGAGCCTTTACTACATGAAAATGAAAATTAATGAATACACTGTGTACAGTAATTTACTTGATAAGACAGACCTCAGAAAAATACTTTATGAGGCATAAACCTGTCTATAATGAAAATTAATTAACTAAGGATTTTTTTGCCCTGCCAGGGTGTGGCCAAGTTATCCGGAGTGCCGGGTTATCAAGTGTCGAGTTTGAGGCTCTACTGTATTAACAAAATGTCAAAATATTAGAACAAATAACTAAACAGTTGTTTAATCCTGAAAACTAAAATATTGAGTAACATATCAACTATATTTCAAGTCATTCTCAGCTTAGAATTAATTAGAATAACATAATTTTTGATTTATGCTTAAAGATTAATTTTTTTTTTGTTCTCTAAAACTAATTATTTAACAAGTCATCATAAACATTTACTTGAATATTGGATATTTTGTAAATAGATCAAGAAAGCAATTTTTTAAAAACAGTGTTTATTAGATACTTAATAAATATAGAAGACAGCAACTCTAGAATGAAATAAATTCTATCTAAGTTAAAATTGTTTACAATAAACAAACAGTAATATAAATATATAAAACTTGCAATTTATTAAATTCCAAAATCATTATTTGATTTATTTAGTAAATATATAATAATATTAATTACTGTATTTAATTTTCCTGAACTAATTATTTCATGAATTTGATCCTTGATAGAAGAAGAAATGATTATCTAGTAATCGTATGAATAGTCGACTTTTGCTCTATTTCACAATATTTCTCAAATTTAAATTTTTTTCTTAATTTACAACTTTTAGATTTTGACATTTTATTATAATTATATTCCCAAGAAAATAATAATAAATATGATAAAAGATATTACTATGAAATAATCTGTAAAAAAAAATCTGATTAGTAAGTATTTACTAATCAGATTTAAACCATGTAATTTATATTTCTAATTTATTTTACGTTGATAATTTTTTTATAATTGTTTTTGTAAAATCAATAACACTTTTGAAAAAATTTGATACTTTTTTCTATAAAATGGAAATGCAATATTTACATTTTAAATAAAAAATCTTTAGATCTTGAATTTCATACAAACATTATTCTAACATTAGAAGAAACATGAGACAAAAAAATTATAAATTATGATCAAGCATAAAATATATAACTAAAAATTTAAGTGATTAAAATATTAAATCAGTAAATTACTTTACTTTGTGCCTATCAGTCAGGAAAATGTATAGCTGTGTATTTTACCTGACTGATATAAAATTTTTGAGACAGCCTCGTAAGTTATCCAGTTCCAACAAGGGGAAAAGATAATGAAAAACAATGACTCAAGATTTTGTAATCAATATATGATCTTCAATCACCATTTATTTTTATTTATTCTCACATGACCTGTAAAATACCCAAGACATTCCAACTGCAATACAATAGTTTTGGTCATTATTTGTCTCTAAATAAGAATAACTTATTTTATTATATATTAATTAGAAAAATATTTGAAATACATCATTATAGCATTTTAATCCAACAATTTTTCTGTTACAAAATCTAAAGATAATGCTAGATTCAATAATATATCAATATATTGGCCAACAGATGCAATTCTATCTACATTTTTTTTTCATCTTTCTTCTTACTTTAATCTGTTGTTTAGATAATCAACTTTTTGATAACAAGAAGTTTTGTCATTTTATGAGCAGTAGAGCCTAGAGCACATTTTTGGCACGACAATTTGGTTCTATTTGCAAATTCTCTCTAAAGTACTCTCTGGTTCTCACCTCACAAAATGTAGTTAAAATTTTGTAGTAAGTTCTTCCTGTAAAATTTCAATTAAATGAAAGCTTATTTTCTAACAGATTATGTAAAGTAAGTAAAATTCACATCATTCTAACAAAGAAACCAAATCATTCTTGAGCTAATTGAAATGCTGATTAAAACAGCTGTTCATAAATGATGTCCACACTGGAAGGGAGGGAGGGGTTACGACAGCTCGGACAAAGTTAGACAAGGGAGAGAAGGGAGTTGAGCTTCAATGAACATCCATTTATTTTTATTAAATTTTATACAGTTTATTCATTTTATTATATTTATTTCAAAATTTCTTGTATGTTTCATTTCTATGTATGGTATCTATCATTCATAAAGTGATAAAGGTTTTTTTTTAAGAGAGGTTGAATTTTGTTGGACATCCAAAGATGGGAGGTTATGGAAACTTGGACAAACTGAGATGAGAGGAAAGGAGAGTAAAAAAAAAACAAATGTAATTTATTGACAGCCCCTAATTGGTTTAACCATTAAAACAGGTAATGGAAAATTATGACAATCAAATAATTTCTTAAAAGGGTAACAATCTTAAGAAATTTTAGTATAAATTCCTAATTG